ATTTGAAAATGAATGATTGGAATCCAGACTTTTGACTTTTTTGGTTTTCCTCAACACTCCATCCTCTTAGCATTTTTGTTTTCCAGCTTTTCTAGAAGGAAAATCATTTATTACATCACTGCAAGAAATCTGATGGCCAACTTTATTGTTAATACTAATTACTGCCAGTCCACTCAGTCTTTCTTGTGCCGTGGAAGGTCTATGGTAGTTTTTCTTATTGATCTTTTTTTGGAAAAGCTCACAGTGCACTTACTTACTTCAGGTTTTTTGCGGTTTATTGTACGGAGAAGAAGTCTGCCAGTGGAACAATTGAAAATTACTTGAATTTTTTTAATTATCTGGTTTCTTGTCATGTGGCTATATGGTCTTTAAGTCAATCTTGATTCAACCTGCTCTTTACATGGCCATTTTGTACTGCACACAGAGAGGCAGTATGAGTCACTGCACCAACAATGGTGTGTTCACATAATATTGTGGGCTTTTTTAAATAAACCTTTTATAATATATGAATTATCTCTAACACTGGCAAAAATTATTATTATTGTTGTTGTTGTTATCATAAATTTAAAAAAAAGTAAAACGTCTTTTGCTCTTGGAGGCCCCAGTGGTGACAGCTCCGATCCCTCTGCCGCCCCAGGCATAAGTAAGTGTCTGCTTAGGGCTCCCGTCACCACCGGGGGCCCCCCCAAAGCAATTAATTTTTTTTTTAAAGTTCGTTTATTATTTTTTATTATTAATTGTTTATTGCACTGTGAAATATAAAATATATATTTCACATAAAAAACTATTTAAAAAATTCTCCCCCCAAATCTCACAAACCTCTTTTCAGTCTTTTAGTACGTTCTTTTTAATTAATTAATTAATTAATTTAAAATAAGGTAGAACATAAAGCAATGTAATACCTAAAGACGATATTTTTTAATGTGTTTTGCAATGCATTATAGTAAGTTTAAGTCGGGGAGGGGGAGGGGTCCACTGCCAGGCTCCACTAAGAAAACAGCTGACAGGAAACACGACCACTTTCACCGGAAAGAAGGAGGAACTGCTTTTATTATCGCCCGAGAGCTGCTGTAATGGCGGTGTCTCGACGCTCATCGCAGCAGCAACAACAGCAAAATACTTTACAGTCTCCGCCGAGAAACATCTCTCTTTCTGGCGCTCCTCCGGGCTCTCCGCCGATGGCTTTGCTGACCTCGGCCGTCGGACCTTCGGAGAATGAGAGGGAGTGCAGCGGAGGGATTGAAATGGCTTTGGCCTCCCCAGACCTACCAGCCCCGGCCTTAGCGAGCAGTGCGAGCTCCACCACGACAACCTCTGGCGGAGGTAGCAGCAGTGTTTCGAGCCCAGGCTCTGGAGCTGCCAGTCCCACCGACGGCAGCAGCGGCATCGGTGGGGCGTTCAGGGAGTTGTTCGAGGCCTGTCGTAATGGAGACGTATCCAGAGTAAAGAGACTTGTGGATTCGGTGAATGTAAACGCGAAGGACATGGCTGGTCGAAAATCAACCCCCCTTCATTTCGCTGCGGGTAACGAGCTAATGAAGTAGCAACAGCATCTTGTTATTAGCTAGCATACTGCGGGCGGCTAGCTAGATAATGTGTTTTGCTTGACTTGTTTAGTGCTAGCGCTAACCTTTTATTTACATTTATCTTTATTATATATTCCTTAAAAGGTAACTATAATTTTAAGCTGTCGTTTTATAACTATTTTATAAGATGTGCCGCTAATAACATTTAGCTAGGAAACGCAAACCGTCGTCTCTTTTAGTTAGGATAACCGTACGTTAGCATGAACTGCAACAAAAACTAACAGTATGCTACTACGTGTATGCTGTTTGCTAAGTTCCCAAGCCCTAAATTAAATACAACACCTCTGCAATTATTATAGGTAAGACGTTTGTGTATCTATACGGATGCTAAAGAGTATTTATATTATAATAAAGTCATAAAGTGTTGTTTTTGTTGGGATATTTCCTGTGAATGGCTAAAAGCTATTAATGTTAGCAGGATACTTATGCAAAGCGCTTAATGTGATATAGATGGAAAAACTTAACGCACGTGCTTCTTTCAGGCTTTGGTAGAAAAGATGTTGTGGAGCACCTTCTGCAGACTGGGGCCAATGTTCACGCTAGGGATGATGGAGGTCTCATCCCCCTGCATAATGCCTGCTCTTTTGGACACGCAGAAGTCGT